TGAGGTACAAGTTGTATGTCAGGACCGTCAGAGAATCTATTTACCTGGACACTGGCTAAGATAGGTTAGCTCCATCTATACCATAGATGGAAACCAACGTATCACTAAATTTAATAACACACCCCAAGCAAGTTCTTGTATGCTCATGATCTCATTTTGCCAGCTCTTTCCCTCTATCCCATTCGGCACAAAGATTTTTAAAGACACATTTTGTTCCAGACCTTAAGGGATAACTGCTGGTAGCAAATTTTTCATATAAAAAACTCTTTTGTCCACTAAAATAGTTGTTCCTTGTTCCGCTTTCTTACTGCCAGTGTGAATGGAAGATATTTGACTCTGGATATAAAGGGCACATAGTCTTTTCCTCTACTTCACTATCGGAAGGTGAGCCCATTGTATACAAGAAAGGAAAACTAAAATCCCATACAAGGTACTAGTGAGTCACGTTGAGCAGTGGCACACATCCTATCTTACCCCTCCTTTGGTTCTTTGGAATCTAAAGCTTCATTTTTACCTCATTTTAAGGAGCTGGTTTGGATTAAAGTCACATACAAACTGAGCCATCTCCAACATCTACATCAGGAAGTAACTCTAACTCAAGATAGAGGTCATTGGAGGGGCAACAGGTTTGTATTGCTTATTCTGGCTTGTCTTTTCCTGTACTGGAGATCATTTGGAAGATCTACCAGTGACTGACCCTTTATAAGCATTAGATTTTGAAATAAAAGCGATTGCTTGTTCATTAGCACTTCCCTTGATGAAGTGTACAAGTGTCATGTAAAACAAACTGAATCCTGCTCATGATGGATTGGAATGGGCATTCCATTGGGAGATATTTGAGCCAAAACCACAATGCTTTGGCTCCTAGTTGCTCATGAAGCTTCTAATTGACTTTCATACCACTTGCCAATTGTTGCTCTCAAGAACAGTCCTTGAAGTAGAACTTTGATGGGCTTGTGCATTTCTAATGCTGAAATTCATTTCATCTGTAGCATGTCATGGATTTTACCCACTAAATTTATTTAGAAACATTATGTGCTATTTAATGGGAGATTATATTTGAAGAATTAATATAATATGAAAATCTAAATAATTCACCATCTGTAAAAATGATTACTTAACTACACCTTTTGAAAGTCATTAGAATACAATATTTACAAAAAGTATATTTTTCAGATTTAGGATGTTTTTGTGTGTTAAGTAAATTGTAGAATATATCTGTTGATAGTTACACTGATTTTAAGGTTATTCATTGTAAAGCTTTAAAGTACTGAAGTATAGGTAGGTATCAAAAGTCTTATTAAAATTATCTTCATATCTTGCATGGAAATATGTTCAATTCCCCATATTTTAAAAGAAAAAAAATAGATAAATGGGCTTCTTGGTCAAAGATATTAGAAATAAATACTCATTTTTAATGTATTCTAATTTGTGAAGGGTTTATGCCACTGACCGTATTTTCCTGAAATTTTAGAGCAATGAATTCAAAAGCTTTTCTATGCATGTTTGTGGCTTAGTAAGTAGGAATGCTATTCAGCAGGCATTCATTTAAAAAGCTATCTATAATTATGAGAGCAATCTGACTAATTTCTTCTAGTGGCAAACTGAATCAGAGACTACTTTTGGAATAACATCAAGCAGTTATGTAGAATATTTTTTAAAAGTCAGATAAGAAGTAATGTTCTGCATTTTTCATCACATTTATATATAAATAAAACATGATTATATACATTGCTGAAATAAAGATTGTAGCTATTTCAGTACTCAGAGTACTCTGGATATGTTTGTGAATAAAGAACAAAGGAACATTAATCATAGACTATGAGAAAATATATTTCAATTGTCTTTATCTATATTCATTCACTGACTGAATACATTTTTCACACTGGAGAAATGCACAGATGATTAAGCCCAGGGCTTAAATACATATAGGACATTCTAGAAAAATTCACCAATGTTTAAGCTATGGTCCTTAATTTCAAGTTGCTTTAAAAACTAATTTAATGTGTTATTTTCTTAGAAATTTATATCTTTATTATAGAAATGTTAAATAATACATGTAGACTAAAGAGGAAAACATTATCAATACCCTTCATCACTAATGTTATGCAGATTTTCAGTCTTTTAGAACTAGGCATCTATCTTTAAATGTCTTTGTTATAGCTTAAGGATTGCTTCCTAGAGAGACCTTAATTATCTAATTAGATTTGGCCTATTAGAATAGAAACCTCATTTATGCATTACATTCTGTAAGTTTTTGGTGTACTTTTAAATTTTGTCTCTCACACCATAAATGAAAACTCCACGAGCTGGGACTGTATATTTTCTATTTATTATTTTATTCCCAGTATCTTGTATAGCAGTTCACATAAATGTATGTCCAATTATTTCTTCCACAAAGAATTATCAAGTGTTTTTAATTGGCATAAAAAAGAAAGGAAACAAAAACAAACAAAAATACCAGAAAATCCTCAGGATAATAGTTGATGCTGCTTTACAAATCTAGAATCATAGCTTTTTATACTGTTGAATATTTTCACACATAAACATGATCTGTCTTTCTATAAACACAGTCTTTTTATTTACTTGTTTTTCATCCCTCCATAAAGTTAATTTTCTTCATCTGAGTCCTACACATTTCTACTTAAGTTTTATTTCATCTCTTGTTACTACTTTCTATGGTCTGAATATTTGTGTCCCTCCAAAATTCATGTTGAAATCTAATCTCCAATGTTGGTATCAAGAGGTGAGGGGTCTTTGGGAGGGTACTAGGACATGAGGGCAGAAACTTGAATGGGATTAGTGTTCTTGCAAAAGAGGACTGAGGGAGCTTGTTTTTCTCTTTTGATAGGTGAGAAAACATAGTGTAACTTTTCCCCTCAGCCTTTATGTTTTTTAAATACTCTTTTCTTTGAAGTACTTTTGACACCTTAGACAGAAAAATGAACTGAGACTGCTGGGCACAGTGGCTCACAACATACCTGAATCCTAGCACTTTGGGAGGCTAAGGTAGATGGATCACTTCAGCCCAGGAGTTTGAGACCGGCCTAGGTAACACGGGAAAACCCTGTCACTACAAAAAAGGGACACATACTCACCAAACAATACATCTGCTGACACCTCGATCTTGGACTTCCCAGCCAGCAGAACTGTGAACAATACATTGCTGTTGTTTGTATATTACTCAGTCTAAGGCATGTTGTTATACCAGCTTGATTAAACTAAGGGACTACTTTTATTAGGACTATTTGTCATTATATTTTCAGAACCATTTTAAAATAAATTAGCATAAAAATATTCACTTCTATGCAATTTTTGGTTGGTCGTTAGTCTCTTTAGTTAATTATGAAAGTTTTTCAATGAGTTCTCTGGAGTTTTCCTGGCAGCACATAATATAATACGCATAGGATGATACTTTTTATCACCTTCTTTCAAATATTTATGTGACTTTTATTTTTCCTGATTCTGCATTGGCCAGCATATTTTGAGTAATTTAAGGCAAAGGTGATTACAGCGATGGTCCTTGTCTTTTTAATACTTCAATGGCATCATGTGTAGGATTCCATTTTTAAGAAAAATAGTTCTGTTGCTTTGAGATAGATTTTAAAAATCGTGTTCAGAAATTTTTAAAATTTGTTTACTAATAGTTTTTGTGAGAAAATATTACATTTTCTCAGTGGCTTATTTTGTGAAATCTGTGAAGATGATCCTCTAGAGTTTTTTCTTGTGATTTTGTTAATATTTTCAAAATTAGGTTAGCGTATTGAATTATCTTTTTATTCCTGGAATACTTTCTCCTTTTTTGCTATTAGGATTAAAAATAGTTTATTACTTTCTATTGGCTGACATTATGTTTGTGTTTTTTGTATCTTTTTTCTTAGAGCAAACTGTCATGGAGTTCCCTCAGTGAAGGTTGTTATAATCATTTTGCTGGATTCGCGTAACATGAGGCAGTACATAACTTGTCTGAGAAGCTTAAAGCTGTTGTTTCCTTCATTGTCATTTAGTTTACTCTCAGCCCAAGTTATACACTTATGTTTCTTGTAATTTCAGCTCCTAAATACTTGGTACCTCTTTAAAGATTCTCCTTGCTGCCTTTGGATCTTAATTGACTAGAAAACAACTTTCATATTTACTTTAGCCTAAATCAGATTTATGGAAGCTTCATCAAAAAGCAATAGACCCATATTAACAAAATAAAAAATACAAGAAGGTTCTAAAAACATTGAAAAATATTGTCTGAAAGTGGTGAGTATAATCAAAATTGGATTAATGTCTTTATGCTGCCATTTATTAGCTTTGTGACACTGGGAAAATCATTTAACCTATTGCCTTAGTTTGCATATTTGCAAAATGATACTTAGCAGTGCCTAGTTACAGTTGTGCTGTGAGGTTTAAATGAGATAAAGCATATAAAGCATCTAGCAAAGTGCTTGGTCCATGGGGAACCACTCAGGAGAAGTTAGCTCATATTACTATACCTGGACTAAATATAGTTGCCGGTTTGTTTTTTAATTAATGTATTAATAAGAAGTAAAACAGAACTGGTATAGAAAAAAATAAACTATGTAATTCAAAGTTATAAAGCCAAGTATTTAATTAAGAGTAAATTGTGGCAGATAATAGAATTATATATAAAACATAAGCTCCAAGATGACGATTCAAATTATTTACAGATAATTACATTTAAATAATCAATGTCAAATCTTCCACTTCTATGTGTTGTGTATATATTATTGTACTCTGAAATATAAATTTGGCGTTTCTGAGAAGATTTTGTTGTTGTTAACTTTTTAAGGTTGAAGGCATTTTAATATCTGTATTTTTTATTTTTTAACTTAAAGATTTTCATAAAAATTGGTTACTACAAAGTTGTGTTAGCTAATTTACAATGTATTGTATTATTGACACACATTTATAGACTGTGCTGTTAAATGATGAGTGTATTGCCATCTACCCAGGCTAACATTTTATAATTTTTTCTGAAATTGTATTGACAGCCAGTAATATGGTTATGTTCATTCTGAATAAATTAATGATGCTGAAGAGTCAAGATTGAGATTGCAACCAGATACCTGTAAGTTTTATATTAATAAATGACACACAGGGTCTTAGAAAAAGAGATATCATAACTTTCATTTGGAAAAATAGATTTAGAAACATAGTTACTAAAATCTTGCTTTACTGAAGGTGAAAAGCAGCAGAGATTTCCAAAAGTAAAATCAGTATTTATATACCCACATGCTTACAATAATCTAGATCAATTTATTTCTGTCTTTAATGTGTAACATTTCCCCCAGGACTTTATGGTTTTTTTTGATTATTATTTTGCTTGAAGTATTTCTGTCTTAAATAGAAAAACAAACTAAGACTGTTGGGCACAGTGGTTTACACCTATAATCCTAACATTTTGGGAGGCCAAGGCAGGTGAATCACTTGAGCCCGGGAGTTCAAGATCAGTCTGGGCAATATGCGAAACCCTGAATCTATAAAAAATAAAAAAATTAGCTGGGTGTAGTGACCCATGCCTGTAGTTCCAGGTACTTGAAAGGCTGAAGTGCGAGGATCACCTGAGCCTGGGGAGGCTGAGGCTGTAGTGCGCCATGATTGCACCACTGCACTCCAGCTTGGTGACAGGAGTGAAGAGTGAGAGCTGTCTCCAGAGAAAAGAAAAGAAAAGAAAAGAAAAAAACTAAAGAAAAAGGAACCAAGACTTTAAAAAGACACAGATAGATGTTTTCCAACTGTGGGTTTACTAAGATGAAAGACTGCTTAATCCTCTTCTAAGGACGATTTGGTTATTTGTTCACTTCCTAATTGCATGTATTTGCCCAAATGAGACCCAAGAAACGTCCTGTGCCGCTACCGCTCCATCTGTAACGACGCTGCTTGTCCATGAAATGACTTTTTTTCCAAACGGATGTTTGCTCATTCTTTCTTTTATTTATTGTCATTTAATACTTTTAAGGCTTGAGAATTTAGATCTTTTTCTGTCTACTTTTCATTTTTGAAGGTTTTGAGTTGAGACTTCACAGAAAACTGAATACAAAGGCACTTCTATTACTTCCTGATCAAAGCATCATCTGAAAATTAGCTACCATTAAATTTCAAATACAAATATAGAAAAAAGTCAATCTAATATTATCTTTATTATCCAAAAGGAAACTAGAAAGTCCTTTACAACAGATGCAAATAAGACAATTCAAAATTAAGTTCTCTACTTCTCTGAACTGCCTGGTAATTGCTCTCTTTTGGCAAAGTACCTTTCTTTATTTTGCCATTTAAGAGGCTTTCTCTTAAGAGTTATTTTTTTCCTTATTAGTTGTCCTTCCTTCTAGCTTACATGGCTTACATTCCTAGGCTGTGTCCCCCCAGTCCTTTCACAGGGTCTGTGTGTACCCCCAAGTTGTTAGCTTGGATAATTTGCAAATAATGACATGGAAAATAGACACAAAATGTAAAGATTTTATGTGATAATGTTTTTATGACACTGTCCCATCCAGCTGCACATTTTACCTGCACAACTTATTCCCACATGTAATTCACAGTATTTTTCCCCAGTTCCAATGCTTTAGGAGAGATTAACCAGATTGTGTTAACAAAGAACACGTCCATGTAGTATGCACCTGTACAAACGTGTGCAATTATTTCCTCATTCTGCAATTCATTGGTGTTCTGATTCATTTAGGTGCTAAAATTTTAATTCACATAAAATATTTCTAAGTAAGCAGTTCCAAAATTTTGGTTTTGACTTGTCTTAAAATATTTCCAAGTAAGCAGTTCCAAAATTTTGATTTAGATTTTTTTTTTTTTTAAATTTTTTGGCCCAACTTAACTGAAAAAGAGAAGGCAGAATAGTAAATCCTCCTGAATCTATCAGCAATGGAGAGGACAGTAGGGTCTCATTTTCATTTATGCTGTCAGATTGATTGATTAGCTTTTATTATACATGGGTTATGTGCCAAACGATGTCTTTTGATTCGGATTCAAGGAAAACAGCAGGAATCTTGAACAATGAAAGTTCTGAAAGAGTTGTTATTTCTGGCCCTTTGATAGAAGTATAGAGAAACTCATAGCTAAAGAACATCAAAGTCTCAAAATCAGCTTCACATGTAGTTTACTCATTGAGTGAGACACAATATGAAGAGTCAAAGCTAGTCATGATTCAGTGGAGTTTGACAAAGTTTCTCTGCGTCCACTTAGCTAAAGCCTTCTTTCTCTGTGCCTCAGGTGCTGAGATGTCTATGCAGAAGAGTCTGAGGTTAGCCTCCCGGAGTTTCGGGGAAAAGCACACAGGCATTCCTGAACACTCTGAGAGGTGAAGAAAAGTGGCTGAGCAGACAGACGCGAGGTCTGGCATGGAGGCAGAGGATCACAGCGGAGCATGGACCTAACAGCTGGATACTGTGTGGGGATATCACTATCAGCAGAAGATGCAACAAGACCGGGCCAGCGCTCAAGGCCAGAGAGAGAGGTTTGCAGGGGCCAGTGGGGCAGCGATGAGCATAGAAGACAGTCTTCTCCACTTTGATAACAAAGCAATGTGAAAGGCACCTGAGAAACCCAGATTACAACCAGGGAGAAGAAAATCAGAGATACAAGGTGGGATGCATCCTGAATTGGTAGAGTAGATACGCCAGAGTGTTCTACCAGAGTTGACAGAATTACCTTGAATAAATAAGAGGAAGGTATTTTATTACCAAGAGTCTCATGGGCTAAGTTTAAATACAGAGGAATAAAGTTACATCTTTACACAGTTGGGTGTGTGACAATGTAAAATGTCAACATTATACTTCCCAATGGACTATACCATGCAGAAGGGAGAAAGAAGTCAAAAGCCTGTTCTTTTTTTTTTTTCTGTTCCACAGTAAATAGCAGAAATTATTCCCTTTGTTAATCTAAGCATACACCAGTCTGTAGGTTCATAATGAGAAATAACTTTTTGATTTTTTTAAAGAAAATATAGAATTTATAACAGAAAACCTTTTTGGTTTGTGTTTTATTCCACCTTCTTTTAGCTAGATTTGAATGAAAGAAAAATAAAGCCATGTATTGAATAAATATGTTAACTCTACAGTATTTTTGAATATATATTTTTCATGGTGTAGTTCCAACTTTCACTGGTGATATTGATATGAAGGTCAGATTTACTGAGAGGTAATGTTCAGCCTTGGAAGCATCACCAAAATGTGTATATAAGGCCTTTGTCCCCCGATGAGTGTCCTTTCATGTGACTGGTTTTGTAAAGCCTTACACTGTGAATGGACCGTCAATCAACTCACAGCTGCACTGAGGCCTTCCGATGGCTGTATCCATGGCAACGTGCCAAAAATGGCGGCTCAAATTAATCTATTTGTGTGAAATTCTCAGTGAGAGTCCACTTTCATCTTTCAGAAACTACTGTTAGGAAGTCTGATGATAATGTAAAATACTGAGCAAAACAAAATAGTGATGGACTATCCACAGGATCCTCTCCCTGTAAACAGTGGGACTTCTTTTCCTTTTTATCTACGAGAGATGACAGAGCACAGTTAGGGATGTAATATTACCACCATAATGTTCTTTTTACAAAAAAGTTACGTTAATTTAATGTTCACATGTAAGCTTCTTTTTCACCTTCTCTCACAATGCTATCTAATCAGCCTGGAAAATAAGTACAATGATTTACACAGTGGTACAAAATTAAAAGTAATCTTTTATCTTGATGCTTTATTGCTAATAGTATTCATATAGCATATAGCATGAGGGATACTTCCAGCTTTGAATCTGAAATTAATTGTTAGCTTCCTCTATTATATGAACAGAAGCAGCTAAGTCTTTGTCTCTTAGAAAAGTTCTTTAAAAATCATCGTTCTTTGTCTTAGGTCATGCATTGGTCCTACATCTACATACATTTACTTTTCAAATGCCATATCTTAAAAAGACATATTTTGCCTCTGTTTGGATAAATTTACTTAAAATTGCAAATTGTATTGTTAAAATTATTTAATGAAAAGGTAACTTTTCACAAACTAAACATGTAGGGTACATACAGACTTTTATTTTAGAATTTACATTCATTAGTCGAAGATATCCAAGTGAAAGCATAAGTGATGTGCCTTATGTCTACTTGTTACTCCTGTCTTGGGGACTTGAGCTGTATTTTTATGTACAGAACAAAAGGATTATTTTGTATTGCATTGTTCTCAGTTTTTTAAAGTCATTCATCAGCTACTTTGAGAATCTAATAAAAGTCCTGGACACCTATGAGAAATACACATATGTATACTGTACAAATTTGCTTCCAGGATCAGATGATCCATGGAATACAGGTTAAGAAGATGTTGGTCAGGCCAGGCACGGTGGCTCATGCCTGTAATCCCAGGACTTTGGGAGGCTGAGGCAGGTGGATCACCTGAGGTCAGAAGTTCGAGACCAGCCTGGCTAACATGGCAGAACCCCATCTCTACTAAAAATACAAAAATTAGCCAGGCATGGTGGCGCATGCTTGTAATCCCAACTACTCAGGAGGCTAAGGCAGGCGAATCACTTAAACCAAGGAGGCGGAGGTTGCAGAGCACCAAGATCATGCCATTGTACTCCAGCCTGGGTGACAGAGCCAAGAGTCTGTCTCAAAAACAAAACAAAACTATGTTGGTCAAATTAGTGTTGAAATTTTCTCTAAAACATTGAATGGAGACTTCCAGTTTCAGTCCCAACACTTCCATACTTAAAACAAGAAAAAATTGAACAAAGGAAAATCAGTGGCTTTTCTTGGCCTTAGTAGAGAACTGGATTTGCAGGGCAAATTGCTACTTTGAAAATCAGAGAAAGCAGTAAGTCTGGAGAGTCACAGCTGAGATCTATTTACACAGAGCAGAGGCAGCTAGATCCACAAGCTGGGAGGAACACTGAAATGGCATTTCTAATGAATTGCTGGAGGCCAAGAGTAGACTAACTTGGGAGTGAGAAACTCCTGGGGGCTACAGTCTGAGGAAACTCCCAAACTGTCCTAGGTTTACTTCGAGAAATTTTGTCAGCTTCTCATGATGATAATCCAAAAAAATTCCTGTTACAGTTTTGGCAGGGGAAGGGGAAGAGAAATCATTATGAAATACTCCCAGAATGTTCTGTATAAAGCAGACCTATTCTCTGGGAGAAAAAAACTTTACCTAAGTCTTATCCCATAGAGAAGGACTTTCCTCCTACTGTTACCGTTTCTAGCTGTCGGTCTCATGTCAGTTGGGAAAACAAGGTATATCACTGGAAAAACACCTGTGAAGGTCACAGTCCAGAAATGCAGACAGATTGAGATTTAATCATAAGGGCTACAGAATGCTTCCCCCACAGCACACCTGACCACCCTACCAACATAATATTTGAATGAATAATAACAAGGAATTACAGCTGAAAGAGTTGGAAGACACACAGTCTCCCTAAGGAAGGGGTTTTAGAGGAGCCCAAAGCAAGAGGAGAGACAAAATCAAGGATAATAGCTGCAGCCTCTGGCACCAGAACAACAGCAAACATTAAACAAAGCCCAGCTCCCAGCCAGATGAATGTAAATCTTCACATTAAAGGCCTATTTACCTCAGTTCTTATTACCCAATGTGTCAAATTGTAAAGCATGATAAATGGAAGAAAATCCCATAATCTGAAGAAACCATGTAAGCATTAGAACCAGACTCATAGAACACAAGCGTTGGAATTGTAAGGCAAGAAAATTTATATAACTATGGTAAAGAACATTCAAGAAAAGTTAAACAATGTTTGAAGAGAAGGACTCCACTTACAACACTAGGCAGATCATTGAGGCAGAAAATAAACAAAGAAACTCTGGACTTAAACGGGACTAGACCAAATGGACCTAATAGACATTTATAGAACATGCTACCAACAACTGTAAATATATATTTTTTTTATTTGTGCATAGAACATCCTCCAGAATTGACCATAAAGCAAGTCTCAACAAATGAGAAAAAAAACTGAAATTATATCAAGTATCTTTTTAGACCACAGTGGAATGCAATCGGAAATCAAAACCAAGAGAAACTCTTAGAATTATACAAATACATGGAAACTAAACAACTTTCTCTGGAATAACTTTTAGGTAAACAATAACATTACCTAAGATGAATGAAAATGGAGATACAACATACCCAAACCTCTGTGAAAGCAATGCAAGGAGGAAAATTTATAGCATTAAATGCCTGCATCAAAAAGATAAGAAAATATCAAATTAAAAACCTAACATCACACATAAAGGAACTAGAAAAATAAGAACAAACCAAACACAAAACTAGCAGAAGAAAAGAAATAACAAAATGAGACAACTAAATAAGATTGAGACCCTTCAAAAAGTAAACAAAATTGGTAGACTTCTAGGTAGATTAACCAAGAAAATAAGAGGGAAGATTCAAATAAACACAATCAGAGATGATAAAGGTGACTTTATAACTGATATCACAGAAATACAAAAGATTATTAGAGACTGCTATGAATATCTTTATGCTCCCGAGCTAGAAAACTTAGAGGAACTGGAAAAATTCCTGGGAACATACAACCTCCCATGATTGAACCAGGAAGAAATAAAAATCCTCAACAGACCAATAATGAGTAATAAAATGAAATCAGTAATAAAAAATCTTCTAAGAACAACAACAACAACAACAACAGCAGCAACAACAACAAAAAAGAGCCCAGGACCAGAAAGATTCTTAGCTAAATTTTACCAGACATACAAAGAAGAGTTGGTAGCAATATTACTGAAATTATTCCAAAAAACTGAAGATGAGGGATTCCTCCTTAAAGCATTTTACGAAACTAGTATCACCCTGCTACCAAAATCAAACAAGAACACAACAAAAAAAGAAAACTACAGGCCAATATCCCTGATGCATATAGATGGAAAAATCCTTAATGCAATACCAACAAATCCCATCCAACAGCATATCAAAAAGATAACTGATCACTATGCAGTGGGTTTTAACCCAGGTGTGCAAAAATGGTTCAACATACACAAATCTATAAATATGATTCACCATGTTAATATAACAGAAAACAGAAACCATATGATTATCTCAATAGATGCGGAAAAAAACTGATAAAATGCAACACCCCTTCATGATAAAAAACCTCAACAAACTAGACATCGAAGGAATATACCTCTAAATGATAAGAGCCACCTAGGACAAAGTTGAAAGCATTCCCTGTATGAGCTAAAACAGAACAAGCAGGTACACTCTTACCACTCTTATTCAACATAGAAGTGACAATCCTAGGAGTGAAAATCCAGAGTAATCAGGCAACAGAAAGAAATATATGGCATCCAAATTGGAAAAGAGGAAGTCAAATTATCTTTGTTTGCTGATGGCATGATTGTATACCTACAAAAACCATAAAACCACTCCAAAAGACTCCTAGACTTGATAAACAACTTCAGTAAACCTTCAGGATATAAAATCAGTGTACAAAATAAGTAGCATTTCTAAATACCAATAACAGTAAAGCTGAGAATCCAATTGGGAACTCAATCCCATTTACAATAGACACAGAAATATATCTAGGAGCACGTTTACCCAATGAGGTGAATGATCTCTACGAGGAAAACTAAAAGAATCAATATAATTAAAATGTCCATATTGTCCAAAGCAATTTATGGATTCAATGCAATTCCTATTAAGTACTAACATCATTTTTCAAAGAATTAGAAGAAACAATCTTAAAACTCACATGGAGTTAAAAAAGAACATGGAATAGCCAAAGTAATCATAAGCAAAAATAACAAATCTGGGGACATCACATTACCTGACTTCAAATTATTTTACAAGGCCATAGTAACTAAAACATTATGGTACTTCGACAAAAGTAGACACATAGATCAATGGAACAGAGTAGAAAACCCAGAAATAAAACCACATTCCTACAACCAACGGATCTTCAGCAAAGTCAACAAAAATAAGCAATGCGGAAAGGA